GGAGGGAAAAAAAGACAGTGGAAAAAAAAAAAATTTTTTTTTTTTTCCCCCATTTTTTTTAAAAAAAAAAAAAAAAAAAAAAAAAAAGTGCAAACTAAAGCCGATGCGTCATTTACTGGTGAGGCGGTTTTATTTTTTGGAGGCGTTGCTGCTGCACAAGTACGCTACTTTTTAAAACAACGCAAGTTGTAATTAATCACATGTAGCACTAAAAAAAAATCTGAAAATGATAAGATTCTCATGGGATGACATCTTTGAGTTTCACCATGCATTCCACCACCAAAATGTAAAAAAAAACTGCTGTTAAATGATTTAATTTACTAATCATTACACTTTTTGAAACCACATACAGTTATTTTTATATAGACTACAGTAAAACTCTAAATAACATAGTTAGCACACTTCTTATAGTAGAAAAGACAACATCTTTATTTTGTAGTAATACAAGTTAATGGTTAGTTTGTTGGGCTGTCTGCTCATGTAGCCAACATGTAGTTTGCTGCTCGACTCTTTATACTGCTTGTAGCTTTGACAACCTTCATTGGAGTGATGGGTGGTGCTTCTTTACTTTCCATATTAAAACTGCTCATGTTTTTCTGGAAGCAGGTGTGCTACTTTATGCTTCACTTGGCCAGAGAAAATTGGTTGTTCTGCCAGTTTTTCTGGCATCTCATTAAAAGGTCTTTGGACCAAAGGAACGCTACGGTGGAAACTCCAGCGGCTATAAAAGCAGAACATTTTAAAACTTTGTCTTTCCTAAATACCTTTGATTCCAAATGCCTACTGAACTGAAATGACAATTTTTTTTTTTTTTTTTTTAATGTTGAGTTTTTTTTTTGGGGGACAATTATTTTAAAAACCATTGAAGTATAGAACATACATTATTTCAATCATACAATGTTTGTTTTTTTTTACCAGAGTTATTTCCAAATCTGATGTAGAAAATAAATAAATAAAATTGTACAGAGACGTATCTTAACTACTGGTACCGGATTTGTTGATTACAATATATGTTTGTAATCAACAAACATATATTGTAATCAATATATGTTTGAGTATTTCTTGAAACAATATGAAAATACCTCAAACTCAATTAGTCATATAAAATTCAATCTCCCGAATACAACAAGTTCTCTCAGGTATTTTTTTTTAATTTGCTAAAAAAAACAAAAAAAAACACTTTTATTTCTTACATTATATGAATTTAAAACCACAAACTTCAATGTACTTTTCTGAGATTTTATGTGACAGCTCAATACATGTATTGCATAATTGTCAAACAAAAGGAAAAATCTGACTTTGTTTCATTCCAAGAAGGTGAACCTCAGCTTTGCTAAAAAGTTTCCCTATCATGATGCTAACACCACCATCCGTCATCAAGGCTATGGTCTGTTTAGTATGATATCCAATGCATTTTTCTGCCATACATTGCATTTTGCATGTAGTCCTCAAAGTTAAATTTTTGTTTGTTTGTTTTGCCCAGGTACATTCTTCCAGCTCTGGTTAGCTGTTACTCTTTTTGGCTTTCCTCCAGTGTTGATTTTCTTCCTCCCACTCTTCCATAAAGACTAGATTTGTGGAGTGCACTGCTGAAACATTGCCCTGCTAATACATTGTTCCTCAAGAGTTGTGGATCTCTGCAGCTCCTCCAGAGTTACCGTGGGCATCTTTCACTTTTGGCTTGAAAGATGTTCTATTTTGAAGTTTATTTTATCACTCAGCTCTTCTTTAATCTTAATCAACACCTTATTCCCCACCTGTCTGTTGTGTTCCTCGATCTTTATGATGCTGTTCGTTCATTAACGCCCTGTAACAAACCCCTGAGGCATTCACAGAACAGCTAGCGCTCCGTCTGTACCCAAAGAAGGACGGAACGCAATTAACTGCACTGAGAGAGAAACGTGCTGAGTGCAGGCTCACATTGCCTTTCAAAACTGAGCAATTATGTGGCGCTTTATGTTGATCTGTCAGGTAAAATTCTCCCATGTACATTAAAAGTTGCAGTTGCAACATAAAGACTTCTCTTTGTGAACGACTATCACACCTCATGACCGTTTTGGCAGATTTATGCAATTATTAATCACTACAACAATGTCAGTTTTCTCTCTGACTTTTTACTGTTCGGTGACAAGATGAGATGCCAAGCTTTTATCTCAATGATCTTCATACCACTCATTCTTTTGGTTCTCCACCAAAACCTCGCCTCTCTTTATGATCCGTCAGAGCTCCCACCTGTGATCGCTGATCAAAAGCCCAACCGTCTCTGTGGCGTGCAAGCATGTGTACGGCTTGAGCCTTCATGGGAATTATCCTGTGATTAATCACTGGTTGTTGGCTGGGGTGGGGAGGTTTGCAGGGTGTCTGCATTCACGTGGGTGTTTGTGTGTGTGTGTCCGATTGTTCACAAGACTGTGTGACGTGAAGCCTTCTCAGCGAGAGGACAGGTGGCCGCGATGCGTGGCCTCTTACAGGAATCGCCCCGGTCCTTCTCTTTAGTGGAGGCCAGTGACGGGTCAGTGCATTGGCTTGGATGCAAATGCACATGCACAAACGCATGCCAGTGGAGCGTGACGCAATAACACGAATTGCTGTCTGCGGCGCGGCAATATTCGAGACGGGAGAAAACAGGAAATTTCGGGCAAGTCTCCTCGGCCGAGTGTCATAGCACCTCCGCTTTCCACTCGCTTTTTCTCTCTCCTCCTGCTGCACATGCTTACACAGACAAACACACGCAGTCGCACACACCCAGCCTCACACCGCCAGCCAGTCAGCCAGCCAGCCAGCCTTTCGCTCTTCACTCACACCCTCAAATCTTACCAAGTTCAGCTCTCCCTGCTCAAAGGCAGACAGGAGCAGCACGGCAGCCTGTTAAACGAGTTGAGGGAAGGAGCAGCAGAGTCACAGAGAGAGACATAGACGGGAAGGAGAGAAGGAGGGGAAGGGGGGCTGAATGAGTGAAGGGAGAGCAAGGCAGAGAGAGTCACAGTTGCCCATATGCCGAGAGGAGCATGGGCGGTTGAGCAACCTGGCCCCCACTGAGGCTTCCTGACTCATGGGAGCGTCAGGAACCGGGTCCCAAGAGAGCCTGGAAAACGCTGCTGGATCACGCGTGGTGGGAGAAGGAGGGGAGAGGAAAAAACTCTTGGAAGGGGAGGCAAGAGGCAAGACAAGCTGCAACGGTAGGCTGTCCCACTCAGCTGCTGTGCCGTGATGACGTCGGCGGGCATGTGACCCAGGGTCTCCAGTGACGCCGCATGGAGGGCAGGAAAGAGACGAGTTTTAAAGCTGGTGCCTTTTGGGTTGTGTGAGGGCTCTGCTCGCCTCCCCAACAACCACAGAACCACAGACGTGCGGCTCGGGGTTGGTGTCTGAGGGCGACCTGGAGTGTAAATGGTTAATCGTCACGGGCCAACACCAGTCACAAGGACGGCGCTAAGCAAGTAAGTACGTTCCAACCACACTGGCCAGGCAAGCCAGTCCGACACCATCTGATCTATCCGCAAAAGCGATATTTGCCTCTGCAATTTTTTTTTTTTTTTTTTTTTTCTCTATAAAACCAAACCTGGTCGTTACTTGTGGTCATCCAAATAGTTGATACGTAGAAGCATGTCTTGTGGATGGCTTTTCCATTTTTTTTCCGCCTTCATGACACGCTGCGTGCTCTTGGTTTAGGACGTGTCGAGGGTCACAGAAACCGCAGAGGAACAAAAGTGGGGCTTGCTGGAACCAGAGGCAGCCATGGCATCTAACAGCCTCTTCAGCACAGTGACACCATGTCAGCAAAACTTCTTCTGGGGTGAGTACCTACGTTCGCCGGTCGCCGATTCTCTTCTGGAAACAGGTCGGTTGCGGGGCTTGGGTTCACGGAAAGGACTCGGTGTGGGGGGGGGAGGTCAGCTGCTGAGATGCGGATAACTTCTGTGATGAGGATAAAGATCTTGGACCTGAAGATCTTGAAGGATTTGAATCCAGACGAGGATCAGCCGAGGTCACCGCCATCAATTTTTTGAGCATTTGTGGTGGAAGAGAGAGACCCAACCGTCATCAAGACTTTTTGACAAGTGACCAAAAAAAAATAAAAAATTAAATCTGCACTGAGAGATTCCAGTATTTACTTATATGCAGTGTTTATAAATATTCCTGGAAGAGGGAGATGACATGTTTGTGCAACGTACCCTTAGATTTAGAGAGCGATGCCATTGCAGAACCAAAAACAAAGGCAGGGGTGATATTTTTGACAGACGTAAACAGCCGCTGCGCAAGGGAGTTTACAGTTGAGCATTGGAACAAGATGTGGGGATTACTGGGCTGTGTGTGGGTTTATGTGTCTCTGTTGGGAATACAGTATTGATTAGGCTGCCAAGAGGGATCTGTAATCGCTTCCTAAAGCTGCTCGGTCGCTCTGCTGTCATCAATTAATCTGTTTAGATTTCCTCCAGCACCGCAGCGGCTTGAACCGGCTGACGGAAATTCGGAACTGAGCAAACTCATCATAAACTCGGATTTAGAACAACCACTTCGTTCTGATTTTTATTGGACGTCTAAAAATAATTCCTCGCCTCGGATACTTTTTAATCCCCTCGTTTCTCTGTTTGAAATTAGGGGACAAAAATAACTCCTGAACAGGAGCAGAGGCTACCTGGGAAGGCCAACTTGCATGTTTCACTTAAGACCCCCTCCACCTCCACCCCTTCCTGTAGATTTACTTTAAGCTGCTGTGACAGCTCTTTTACAGACTCTACTTCAAGGTTGCAAAATTAACCATATTGCATGGATTTTTTTTTCCCAAATTGAAGGAAGCAAATATTTCCTCCTGATGCAAGACATGTCTCCCTCCCTGCTCCGCTCCGCAGCTTTCGCTCGCCTTGTCCAAATCAAACGCGTAAAAGATGTTTTGCAGAAGTCGCTCCGTGGTCAGCCACAGCTGCTCCGTACAGAAGCAGGCTGCAGGGAATGTGGAGAAAGAGAAAGAGAGAGAGAGAGGGAGCTTTCTAACAATCACCGCCACCTATTAACGCTCTAACCCCCTCTGACCTTTCGGCGAGTCTCTGGGGCACGAGAGGATAAGAGAAAAAGAGCCTGCTGTGGTGCATTCAGGTGTAGATCTCTGCGGATTTCAGGTAGGGAAGGAGATGAAAGTGATAATTAGTTTAAGTGTAAAGGCATTGCCGCTTGTTATTTAATGTCAGGCCCGAAAAAACTCAGTCCCCCTAATCAAAAACAGAAAAACATGATTTAGTATGTTTAACATATCATGACAATTGCAAGTGGCACCGTAAGTAGTTTTCCTTGAATCGCTTCGTTAAAATTCCCAATGAAGTTTCATCTTCGCTTCGCTTTAAAAGCTTCTAGTAAATCCGTTTAAATAAGATCACATTTTCAACTCCTTCTGTTGTCGTGTTTCGTTTGGTCCAGCGACAGTCTGTTTTCATCAAACCCCCTCCCTTTGTTTGTTTGTTTGTTTGTTTGTTTTTTTCCACTCTGTCTGCACATTGTTGCTTATCGGGGACACTTTTAATTCAAGACCCAGCTTTTTATCCACAGCAATAAACTGAGCTGGCGAAGATTTCTAATTAAGCAAAGACAGAGGATCATTAAAATTTGTCTTGGCACTTTGCGTCAGGCACTTCTCATTAAATCGCTTCGAAATCCATTTTTCTTTTATTATATCTCCTCATACTGGCAGATCAGATGGAGAGGGGCAGAATAATCGACAACACGTGTGGCACCCACTCAACCGCCACTGCCTCTCTGGGGAACATTTAACTGCCTATTTTCTCTCTTACAAACCTAATTACGTATAGACAATTAAGTCATGGGTAGCAATTATCGTTCAATAAAGTCGTGCAGGAACAGTAAAGAATAATAAAAAAATAAAAAAAAGAAGAAGAAAAAAAAAAGGCAAAGGGACCCGAGTCAACACGATCAAAAGCGAAAGGGGTAAATATCCGAGGACTGCATGCGGAAAACTTCACCCCCCCCACCTCTGAAGAAAATCTCGGATAATTTGCAAGGGAAACCGTATATGTATTTGAGAAAGGCAAGCTTCTGTTGCATAAGTATTGCCTTAGATCTAACCACAGGCCTGCTTCTTGGAGACATCTTAAAAGTGAACCAGACATCACCCCTCCTCTCCCATTCCCCCATCCCCCCAATCCCAGCCGGGGAGCGAAGTGAAGCCCACTCATCAATAGGTAATTTGAAAATGCCAGAGGGGGGGAAAAAAAGAAAAAAAAAAAAGCGGCAGCGCTTCACTGGCTGCTACTGTGCAGCGGAGACTCTTCCCTCAACTCCGCGCTCAAAGGAACTCTTTTTAGCGTCTCTTAATTGTACCTCTGAGGCAAACTTGCTATTTAATCCCAGCAGGGTCATACTTGATGAAGTAAAAACGCTTCTGTTTGTGTTTGCAAACTGCCCGGGCTAATAAAACCTATTAGCCTACGCTTGTTCCCGAGGGGGAAAACAGAAAGGTTCAGAGTGTTAACGTGATCAGGATTTATTCAGACATGGATTAACCCGCTCTGTAATGTGAGTGAAATGTGCAAGCAGCGATTGGTGGGCTTGTTGCGGGCAAAACTTAAGCTACAGGTAGCTATTACGGTCTGAATGAGAGTGTCATGGAAACACAATAACCTGTGATTTTAATGGGCTGAAACAAGCTATTCCCACTTTTTTTTTTTTTTTTTTAGGAAACTATCTGTAATTTTCACCCTTTCTACAGCGATGCTGCGAAGGCAACAAAGGTTCGGAGTAGGCATGGGCTGGTTTTCACAGTATATGGAGGGTTTGAGAGTTCTCTTTACAACACAACAGAAACATTCTCTGATCATGTTCCTAATTTTTTAAAGTTCTTGTAAAGCGATACGTGAGAAAGTGCCGAAGCAAGCCTCGATTTATGACTGTATGGGTCATAAATTCATACAGTGACAAAGCGCTGACCCTGACAGACCGGTTGCTGTGCAGTGGTGGTCAGCTGAGTTGAATAAAGGAGCCTACACTTTGCAAGAAAGATAAATTCATCTGTTTGGAAGTAGTTGGAAAAAAAAAAACAGGAAACTAAAAGGGGCAAGAACCCGTCACTCTTGTTGGTTCAGGGTCTCTGGGGATTTTAGGTTCGTAAAATGCCTGGATGTGTCTCGTTGAAGTGAAGTCTCCCTTGTAAGTTTGAGGTAAATTACAAACTTTTTTTTTTCTCTCTGTTTGTGAAATGCTTTTGTGAAATGAAAAAAGTCTCCTGAGTTTGGGAATCAAATCCCAGGAGGACTTTGAGGCACCTGCTCTCCCACGTAGCACGATGACACCCAAAAACCGAGCATTGTCAGTGCTTTTATAGCATTAAACCTGTGATGTAATCAGACAAAATATCAGTGGATGGATTGGATTACCCTGCTCTGCCGACAGATTCTATTAAATCACAGTTTTTATCAATTTCTGAAGACAAAAACAAAGTAAAAAGTTCCTCACGTCCTCTCATGAGGACTTGAGGACACGTTCCAGCTCATGTCCTCTCATGAGCTGGAACGTGGAAGAAGCACCACCTATCACTCTTAGTTAAACTATTTTATAGTATGTTTGTTAGCAGCTGACTGCGAATGGCAGATAGGCTGACAAAATATCCAACTCCTATAAAAAATGGATCAAATTCTGCACAATAACCTCTCAGGAACATAAGCATATCTCTCAAAATAATAAAAAAAAATAACTACACGTAGCTAATACCATCATTATTACTACTAACAATAAGTATGCTACATGATTTAAGCAACTATAAAAATAAATGTGGATGTCCTGCATTATATAGAGGCAGTTAACACCAAGTAATGTGTTGTGTAAATACAGTGAAACTTACTTTTACTCAGCGTTATCGTTTCATGTGAATCTCATACACATGCACAGGTTAAATAGCCAACAAAAGTCTGCCAGCAAAAACTTGTGAGAAGCGCTTCTGCATGTAATTTAACATACAGCAAATAACCTGCAAACGATTGGATTCTGTTTTCCTTCCTAACTCTGAGCTATTAGTTCATGGATTATCGTCTGGCTTCGGTGGAAGAGAAGGAACGGAGAGTTGTTAAAACAAATGAGATTACTCTAATCCCTGTAATATGAAGACTGTGACAACAAACCCACAATTCGGCGCACATTTTCACAAGGCAGCGTGTATTATCTTTCGTTTTATCCCAATACCCGCTTGCAATGGGAGTAATTACACTATTATGATAAGGTGACCTGCCAGCTGACTGTTCTGCCTGTTGATAGTGTTGACGATAGACTCGCTTTTTAAACACAGTTACTGCTAACCTCTCTTTTTTATCTCTTTTTTCTTTCTCTTTTTACAATTTTGTCCAAATCTTTGCCATTTTTATTCAAAGTAAAAGTCTGATCGGTTTGATTTTGGATAGCTTTTCGAACTCTCGACTCCTCTACACATTGACGGGTAACCGTCAACCGGCGAATCTTTTAAAGCAGCGCTTTTTCAACACTTAGCGGGTTCAGGCCCTCGTCCTCCGCAGCAGCAGCAACAGCAGCATCACGCTGGGCGAATTACCGTTATCCGATATAAGCCCTCAGAGAGGAAGTAACTACCTAACACTTTCAAAATTGGTCTATCTTGGACCGGGTTCATTCTAATGAAACACAAGCCGCTTCACCTCGCTCTGTCCCGTGTCAAGTCCTTCCTTTTTTTCCCCCATCGCCACCTTCACCTTTATTTGCGTTTGATTCCTGTTATTCGATCAGCAGACGGCTTCGGGCCAAGCTGATACAGCGATCTCGAACCGCAGGGAAACCTGAACA